CACCTAGCAAAATAAAGATATCTTAATGAATAAGAAAGGCTTGGAAGTTCTTGCAATGCTGTCAGAAGGATTAAGAGTGAATGCAGAAAATTGGCAACCTAGGGAGGACATTTCAAAGAGCACAGGAGACTAAAACCTGGGCTACACTCCCAGGCTTGACCCAGGATGGTTCATTTCTGAGGTATGGTGACACATACCTAATATTTTGCAGGCTTTGTCAAGGAGCTGCATTGTGATCTCATCTTTGTAAACCTCAAAAGTCAAGAACGAATCCTGGACTCCGGCCTGCAGTCTGCAACAGAGAAGATAATATTCTTGTCTCGGCACTGCTGTAAATGTAATATGCTTGGGTGACCCCAATGGCACTCATTAAGCACTGCTGTTAGCACACTCCTTAGCCTCCTTCAAGCGTTATATTGGAACACACTACTTCCCCTAACAGTTTGAGTGTTGTTTTAACATGGCTGAATGGCGGTGTCCACCTATCCATTTCTGCTATTTCACATTAGGGTGTTGTGGTAAACTCTTCCAAGGATTAGGGCATCATACTGTGGGGTGCCAGAGCAAGTGGAGTCTTAGTTTGTCTTCTGGTTTGTTGGCTTGTTCAATGTGGCCACAGTATCAAGCTCTTGGGCTTCCACAGATCTGACCGAAAACTTGCTGATTTTTTTATATGGGCTTCAAAGGCTATAATATGTATGTATCTAAGTATCATTTATATATCTTTACATCTTGGAAAATACCATATAGCTTATAAAGTAAAGACAAAAACCAAAGAAGATTATATATTTAGTTGCTTTTCTGCAAGTACTGGAAGTAAACTGACTTCATAATCAAGGATGACATCTTTTCAGTATAATTACTTTTCTATATTGTCACAGTGAGCCAGTGAGTCTATTGCACAATTGTCTATAAGACTAAATGTCATCCTTAATTATCTGATATAACAAATTAATTGGGACAAATTAGTATCAGAGTATGAAGTGATATAAGGTAAGGAACTCTTCCTTTTGCCCTGCTAGTCACTTCTAATAATTACTTGAGATACACATCAGCTGCCATTTACCAGTGAGAAATTACTATCCTCTGCCGCTAAATTCCTAAGCATTTTCTTTCAATGCACTGTATTTATCAGGAGCACATTACCTTAATTTTTCCCATGTTTCTTCACCATACTTTTCGACCACCAAAGACTTCAGGCACGTATTTATAAATCCATACTGCAAAAGCAAATATATGAACATCGAAAAAACATATTAATTTTCAAAATGCAGCCTAAACGTGCCACCTTTTTGCATTTAAGGTTCCACTGCTAATTTTATATTGCAAGAGAGGAAGCAGTAATGTTTGACAGCCATTCTGTCTTTCAGTAAACAG